TTGTTCGGGCAATTAAACCAACAAAAAAGCGATTTTTTTTTCAATTAAAATGCTTATCCACCACAATTTGTTTAAGATTGATTAAATAGACTTTACACGCACAAATATAGAATATGCCAATTGATATGCCAATGACGTAGTTATGGGTATTTTAATTTACCCAAAACGTACACGGTATATTACAGAGCTTCTGAGATTCTGGTCATGATTTGTGAATGGTTCCGATACTGACAACAATGGGCATAATATCATTTGGAATTCAAGTGAATATCAAATAAAAATTATATCACTAATGTAAACAATAAATACAGATTTTTACCCCAAATTTAGTTTACACATTTAATATATTTGTCATGAGGCATTCTCATTTTTATATCCTTTTTCATATTACTTCACTCAATCTAAAGGTGTCTAAACCGCTTTGATTCTAAATTATTGTCCTTAATGACTTTGTCAGCTTGACACTATTGTTTAATTTTTATTTATTAGACCTGCAGTAAGTAGGTAGTACCTAAAGGAAAGTCGAGTACTACGTATCATGCGCTGGTTGATTGCTATGTATGATCCACACTGCTAATTCGTCTGGCTTTACGCAAACTTTAGTGTTTGCAAAATCCGTAGTCAGTAGTTTGTATAGAAACAGGAATAAAGGTAGCATAATTGATTACTGTGTTATAATACTCATGCTTTTACTTATCTTGTGACAAAAAGTTGTAAGACAAACAGAAACAACTCTTTTTTACCTTTATTTTTAAAAATTATTCCAGAATATTTTCACAATACATTCTAGAATAATTATGTGTAAAGCACGTTTACGTTTACGGAGTAATTTCATCTAGTTCATGAAGAATTTAATTAATCGAATTCCTGGAATATTTTATCTCTAAATATTGTTCCTACTTTCCAGAACAAAATAAAATTAAAGTGTTTTTATTTCATTCAACTGGTAATTAGAAAAAAGAATTCAATTAAATAGTTAAAAAATTTATTGTCATGTTCTTAATCACAAGTAACTATTTCTAATTATTCTGCCTAATTTGTAATGTAATGCAGACAAATATTGAAAAATGTGTATTTTCAATACTCTGGTACTTCTGGTGCAGGCGGTAATTTTTGAACATTAAGTATTCCTAAAGTAAAATAGTGAAATCGGGTCAAATTAAATTTAACAATTTATGTATCACTTACGAGTTTGTGCGTATTTTTAACAGTTTCAGTTACCTGCACTTCTGCACGTTTGAAAGCTTTAGAGTACAAATCATTTATCAGTGGTTCTGATGCTGACAGCCGAGTGACAGGAAACATGGCTTTTTATCTTTTTTGCCTGCTTCAACCGAGACCTGAGTTGTAAGTTTTCTTTGTGCATCATAGTATATCTAAGAAAATATGACAAAGTATACTAAACGTGAGGGCCTTGGAAGCTGTTGCGGAAAACCTGCATGGCAAATGGTTTTATAAAAAGAGAAATAGAAATGTAACGACAGCAATTCTTACAGGAATACGTGCCACCCTTGTAAAGACCATAGATGCTTACTAAACTTTAAATCATATATTTTTTTACTTTCACTTTTAAAGCGCCAGTGTTCATGTTTTGAGCCACAAAAAGTGCTACTTTAAATACGGACGACCTTTACGCACGGGCTTTAACCACGGGATGGAGATTGCGCTTGTTCATTTACCTAGGGTGCAGCACAAAGTTATATGAAGTGCCATGCACCGTCAGTGAAACAAATCAAAGCAGGTGATGCGGCGTACCATGACCAGTTGTGCGGCGCGCTATTTATAACTTTACATTTCCCAGTAGTGTTCGGAGGAACGTCAAAGATTTAAAATATAAAAGTTCAAAAATTTCAACGTGGAAATAGAGTAGAAGTAGAAAAAATAGCGTAAGCATCACGTGGCTAAAGGTTGTTAAACACTTGATTGATTAAACGCTATCTACGCTCGTTCTTAATCACTCTTCTGACAAAATTTCCCAATTAGTCATTTAATACTTAATGCATTATTATGCCTATGCAAAATTTTAAAAATGACGAAATTAATAATTGTTTTTATATAGTTTCTTTCATCCTTCAGAAATTTTTTGGAAAAGTTTTTGTGCTGATTCTGTTGTCATAAAAGTTTAGAGCGACTCTTGTGCGTTACAGTGGAATCTCCGAATTCGTCGTTTTAAACTTTTTTTTCAAGCCGATAGGCGGATCAGCGGGCGGTGAATTCCAGCTAAATGCTCTTCTGGTCTACTCGTGTTGGTAATTGCAGCTAACATCGCCACCGCCTCAAACTTTCAAGATCGTTTATGCGCCACGATAATTACACCAAAACGGCAAGCAGCAAAAGTTTTTCACGCTGGTTTTAAAACAGCTTTCCCCAAAGCCAAGTTTGTAAATGTGCTAAATTCACAATATTTATTTTGCACGAAAAATAAAGTTTAATTCGTGGGTTATAGTGGATATAAAATGATCAAAGTGAATTATTTTATAACGATCCAGTTCTGATGTCAATAAACTGCAAACTGTTAGATTCTAATTAAAATTATGCATCCTCTAATTAAATTTGTTCCATCTTTTCATTTTCAGCATTATCAACTGTTATGCTGTCATGGCACTAAACTTATACTTTTAATTTATTTAATTTATTTAATTTAAGACATTTTTCAGTAAAACTTGTCCCACTTTATTAAAATGCTAAGTAGAATACCGAAGTAAGCGGGCTACATTAAAGTAATTTGCGTAACTATGCCAATCTTCATTAGTGTGGATGGTGGAAACCGTCAAAATAGCGTACGATAAACGTTGGAGATCAACTTAAGGTACTCTTCAAGTTTACCTATTCAGTAACTTATGACGTTATGGTTTGTTTACATGAACATATTTAGGTATAAAAAGGAAAAGTGGAGTGTTCAAGGGAAAAACAACAAATGGTGACTTACTTATTGTTTCCTCTATTTGTTGATATTCATCTGTATATTCAAAAAGAAATTGATGTTTTTCACACTAGAATTTGCAAAATTGCAAGAAAAGTAGTAAAAACATTTATTAACTTTGAAATTAAGATCTCTTCTCTTAAGCTATTTTTTGCCCAAATATAACTCACATCTCAAGGAAAAGCTACTGTTTGAGTGTAATTTTCTAATGATATTTCTGCAACTAATTAATGAATTAGTGCTATTACAATTATTACAAAATCATATTATTAGATACATTTCAAACTCTTACTTAAAAACAAAAAGTTGGAAAAATCAGTCGGTTTGATTCATCCTACATTTTTGTTGGTGTTCTTCATTCTTTTGTCTATCGAGTAGTCAGAGACGTACATGCAATCCGCGAAAATAGAGTGAATATTTCATCATTTTGTTATGTCATCGCACAGAAAAGCATATTGAAGGTTTATAACATTATTTTCTTCGGGTTATTTGTCTCTACCCTTATAAGGTTTTCTGAGAACCACTATTTGCTTACTGGTTTTCTGTTATATAAGTTAAGTAAGTTTTATCTCTTACATTTTCTTCATATGGTCAACTACACATGTTCTTTTCTTTCTCTTTCTACTTTAATATTTTTGTTTACCTACATCATGTCTTATTATGTGTTTTTCATATATCCATAGTTTACCGTAGTCACGATGTGGATTGTGCGGTTGACATACTCGTAGTTTCATTTTATTGTAGTGCTATAATTTTCTTTCTGATTTTTGAAGAGAACGGTAAACTTATATTGAATGGAAATCAAATTTCGTGCACAAATTTCAAGTCTAAATATATTTTCAAAACATTTATAATTTAAATTTAAATATTATTTTGGGCTATTATTAGGAATAATAGTTTGTTAGGTATTTGCTATAATCTATACACATAATTTTAACTAAATGAAACTAATTATTGCCAAACTTAATTAATAATAACAATAATTAGAATTTTACATTATTTATTTAATTTCATGATAAATATCAATATTTAATATTCGAACAATATAACACACATCAATTTAGTTTTTTTACAAATAAAATAAATAATCATTCATTGTCCAAAGTTAAAACAAAATCTTTAATTTTGTTTGAAACTAGAGCAAATCACTTTCCATCTATATATAAATATCGTAAAAAGTTTTAACATAGTCTTTTTATTCAAGTTGAAGCTTATTTCTGGAAGGTTTCCGTTTAAATCTGGGTTCGTATGTACTTACAGTGTGTTGTTTTGTTTTCTTTCAACAATGCAGCTCACGTTTTGCGTTCTTTTATGCCTTCCGTATGCGTCGAATTGGTTTAAAATGCTTTCCAAAGATACGCCTTATGATTATTGTCGTTGCGAGTACTGCCATTTCAAACTAGTGTAATGGAATTATTATAGTACTGGAACATTAGTTTTTATAAAACGTATCCTGCTTCTACCAAGTGCGAAATGATAACATGTCATAATGTTGGGAAATCATTTAACAGGAAAACAATTGTATAGTATTATAAGAGTATATGTAACAAAATAAACAATTTTAGTACATTGATTAACACATAAACAAAAATTGTAGCAAATTTGATAATATGGAATTATAAAATGTAAACATTTAATTTTAATCTCGTTTTGGAACTATGGACAAAGTTCAAAGAGTTGCACAGAGAGCAATTCAAAAACTGTAAAATTTAGAATGACAATACCATAATTATTAATTAGCAAAGCATGATTCAATAAAAATCAGTCAGCATAGCGCAGTAAGTTTTAATTTATAATACTAAAGGAGACATATAAATATCTGTACAACTTCAACATTAAGTTTTTCTAATTAATCGCCATTCTTTATACCTCGATGTTATGGAAAACAGGATTAAAAATTAAAGGTATGCATAAATCAAGCGATAAAATAAATATTCGACAAAAAATTAATGAAGGTATTGATTTTGAACAAAATTAGTACACAAAAATGTGCTATGGAAACCTTTGTTTGACAGCTGCATGCAATCGCAAACATCATCTCTGTGGATTTTATTTTTTCATTACGTGTTCACATCTGGTGGTTTTATATTCCAACATTTTTTACTCGTTTTCACATAGTGTAGTTGTAATATATTCAGGAGGTATTTGCTACGCTCACGTGAATTGCTGAGTTTACGCGATGAGCAGTTTAATCACGTTAACACCGAATTGAGTAGACAATTTAATGTTCAATTATAATTTTAATTATATTTGGTCACCACTGCATTCACTCTGGATTAAATTAATTCCAACAGAATAAACAATAATTGAAGCTTTAATGACTATCTCAAATATTTGACGTTGTTCTACTACTAACGCAGAGAGAAGGTAAAAATATTTTAATTTTGATTGAACCTTTCAAACTTCAAAAAAAAATTTAAAAACCATAAAAACGATTAGATGCTTCAAACAGTTTTATTTATCATGCGCCGATCTTTTTATGATTTTTTTCATTATATGTGAGACCTACCTGCAACGCAAGGGATGAAATACGACCAGAGCATTGATTGCATCGCAGCGTGGTGCAGAATTGTTTGCCTTCGGCCCAAATCGCATCGAATTCTGGTATTGACGTCAAAGCGAATTTTGGACATTCAATCACTGTACACATTTATCAGAGTTTGCTATAAAAATAAAAAAGGATAGATTTTTCATGTTTGAAATTTAATCATGATAAATTTTAGCAATTTGTTTGACATTTGAAATAATATGAGCACGTAAAGTTTAGTGTAATAAACGGCGCTAACATGGGCTACATGTTATACCCAATTATTGAAACGAATGGTTGCTCCTTTTCAGCGTCGTACAAATCCACGGATTTGTGCTGAGCTTTACTTCAATCGTAAATACACCGCCGTAAACAGCCTTTTCAATCGGTTTAAACGCGAATGATTGCTTTCCTGGTATGCTTTCAACTACAAACTCACAAACCAGAAAATCCACAAATTGCTTGGAAACGGTACAAAATTGCTAAAGTAAGTAAAAACTTTTTACGTCTGAAGAGCGCATTTGATTATAACCTGATTCAAATATCTGATAAAATATATATACTTGTAAAATAAATAAATAAAAGTTTTGTAAAAAATAGACTTGTTTGATACTTGTTAATTTATCAATTATTATTTTTACTAACCTAAAACAAGACATTAATAAAGTTAATTATTTCGCACTTTTTTGCCATTTTAGAATTTCCTTATCTATATATATATAAAATTTGCGTGTCACAGTGTTTGTTTCCATACTCCTCCGAAACGGCTTTACCGATTTTTACCAAATTTTATATGCGTATTCAGTAGGTCTGAGAATCGGCTAACATCTATTTTTCATACCCCTAAGTTATAAGGGTTGTTCACCCTTAACTTTTTTTTAATATTTGGACGAATTTTTTTGTTTTTATTTTTTATGATGTGGCATTAAAAAATACATACAACCCTAAATTTTTAGTTTTTTATCATCAACCCCTATTTCTTTTTAACCATTTTAGTAATTTAATCATTTTTCATCCCGCCCAAAGAAAATGTTGCGTATGCGTATGCAGTAGGTCTGAGAATCGGCAACTATCTATTCTTCATATCTTTAAGTGATAATGGTTGTTCACCCTTAATTTTTCTTTTATTTTGGTCCAAATTTTTTGTTTTTATTTTCCTAATGTGGCATTAAAAAATACATACAACCCTAAATTTTTGGCTTTTTATCACAAACCCCTATTTTTTATAATAAGTAAGTTACTTTTTGTCTACACTAAAATTTATCTAGAAACTAGAAATAAATTATATGGCAAAACAACGTTTGCCCGGTTAACTAGTAATATATATAATCATAAATGATTGGGAATAAAATGTAATGTAATTCTATTCTAAGTGAAACTTGAAGTCATAATGTGTTGTAGCAAATGTTATCTTATGATGCTCAAAATGATGCTGTTCAGAGTTCTGTATAATTTAATACGTACTTAGGATATGGTTAAAAATTCCCCTCGCGCTAACGACGTTCCTAAGAATATATTGAATATCCTTGGTAGATATGTAGGATGGGAAAACTTTTCTCATATAAGGAGGGTGTTCCACCGGATAATCTATCTGCAATCTGCATGTAGAATATCGGCATCAACCCCATTATAGTGATTGAATTGCCTTCACTAAAGTTTCTAACTCTATATACCATCCTTAAATAAATGAATTTCTCTGAGATAATCGATTTTAAGTGAAATACATTTGACATCGTTTTCAACTTTGCAGTGCGAGCAGGTTTAAAGTAATATAAGATATGAGTAGAATTAAAATAGTGCTCTAAGTGGCGAAGTGATACTTAGGTGTTTATATCTGTACTTTGGACGAACTTCGCACTAGGAAATGTAAGGTAGTAGGAAAATAATTTTAATATGTTTAAAAATTAACTAAAAAGATTTGGTGACAAAAAAATTGAGTAAAATTAACTACAGTTTTTTATTTATTTCATTTTTTCTCGGGTGAATAACTTCTAGTTTTGAAACATGCATACTTTGAACATTTAGCACGAAATATTTTTGCATATTATTAAAAATTGCTACCAGCTTTTTGAACTTTCAGGTGGATAGCTGCTGCATTTCTAAAATAAAAATATATTAATTAAACACACTTTTTGAATTTATTTCAGTTAACAGAAAATATTAATATTTACTTGGTACATTTTATGAGTTTTAAACAACGCGGCTCATGTTGCGCGTTCTTTTATGCGCTTGAGCTCTCAACGAGCGTTGCTTCAAAGTGCTCTCGCAGGATACTCGTACACTTCATGGTCGTTGTCGCTGCCATTGCCGACATTTTATACTCGTTAAAGGCTTGGATTATTATATCAAAGCACTATATTTTACCTTAGTTGGTTTTTAAATTCTGTGTTTTTTTATTACGTTTCATGACGATGCCATTTAATGTATAATTTTTTAACGTATGGAAATCACAGCGTTGATTAATTAATGTGGATTTACGGAAATAGTTTACAGGAAAAGATATATGAAATGAATTGAGGAAATCAAAGCTGATATTTTTTTATTTAGAAGCAAGTTTGGCACATCCTGTCACCCATAAAAACGTAAATAGACGTAAAAGTACAAGAAAAAAGGCAACACACTAATATTAACTAAGTTTTTATAAATAATAATAATAAAATCAAGTATGTCTAACAAAAACTAAATGCCGGGAGGGTTGAGTGATTGGAAATTGGAGGTATGATCATTTTTGTTTCGAGAGTATGAAATATTGATCCGTTCTTCCACGCATGTGATTACCAGCTGCAGGCAGCGAAAGGCTTCTGTATGGATGTTATTTTAACATTTTATGTTCGTTGGTTTCTAAAAAAGTTACATTTTTTGCAAATCAGAAATTTTGCAATACTTAGTATACAATCTCATCTCAGAGTAATTTCAAAATTTGATATTTTTAATTTTGTAGATGTAAATAAATTTTGTTGATAAACAATGGAAAAGCAAAGTTAGGTCTTATGTGGTTATTATGTTATTCTGTTTTGGCTGTTTTAGAATATTATGATTACGACGTAATGATTATACGACTACAAGAGCTACAGTCTAGCTGCTTGATATGTCTAGAGCAATTCTTTAAAACATATTCATGCTAGTAACGAAACCAATATTAAATAGGGCATTAAAATATAATTTCTTAAAAGTGTGAAAGGGAAGTAACAGTCTTTCGATTTACACATTATTATAAAAAGAATTCAAAAGCGTAATACATTAATGCTACGTTCTATTTTTTGTCGTTTTGCAAAATTGTAATATTAGAATGCCAATCCATATATATGTAATAATTTATATAATATTTATATCAGGATATAGGTGTGTTGTGTGTATATCAAATAAAAACACGTGTAACATTGTTAAACGTTATATAAAACTGAAAACGTATCCCAAGGGGAAAATTTAATTAAGTCAAACAAAAATTTCATTAAATCTTGCTCCCGAGTATTGTATTTTTAATACATGGCTCTAAGCTTAAATATATGTATATATACATTTTTGTAATTCACAATTTATCTTCCTAAAAACGTTTTTTACTTTCTTGGCGCGATACTATGCCAAGAAATTAAAAATGGAGAATGAATAATGCATTTTAAAACAATTATGTTTTTGTTCATAATACAAAAATCATATTATTACGAGTACTACGATTTCATTGTATTAATCTGTTTGAATTTATAATTGGTTTTCCTCAATGTGTATTTTCTAAAACTATGAAACTTTAAAAGGTCGTATTATACACTATGCAGAACAAACCCATGCATATAATTTAAGCGCAAACAAACGGTTTGTAAGTCTATTTACTGCTTGATTATAAAACAAAATAAATATTGTTTTATTTATGACATAAAAGCGAAAAATATTTTTAACCTTTTGAAAATGTCATAAATTGGCCGTGAATAAAAAAGATATGGGTCGTTTTAAAAAAAATTCTCGGACGAAACCGAAACAAAAAGAAACGTTAAATTATATTGCTTCCTATGAAGGTACTGAGACCAACCCATCAACTAGTAGCCCTGAATCGTTTGAAGAAGAGAACAGTAATGTGTGGAACGAAGTGCTTCTTCGGTTGCGAGACTACTGGACCAAATCATCGAGCCCCATCCAGAGTTCCAGCTCTTTTTGCTCAAATCACTCGGCAGTCTCAGAAAATTGTGATCGTCAAGGTATTGTCAAATTTGTCAAAGATGCATTAGATTATGGACTGGTGAAAGGAGTGTTGGTGCGCCGCGGTAAATTTTATGCATTTGAAGATGAGGTGAAATCGTTTTCAAAGGATAACAAAGTTAGGAATTCAAATATATTGGACAAAGTTTCCAAATCATCGGTATATTTAAGGCCTAAACCGATAAGTATTAAGAAAGCAAAAACTTTAAAAATAGACAAATTCTTTAACAGCACCAAACAAATCGGAAATAATCTGACAGCAAGATGTTCTGAGAAAAGTACAAAAATTATTAAACACCGATGTGCAAGGTGCGGAGTACCATGCGCAAAAAAACGAAACACAAAATCAAATCAAATAAAATAACAAAATATTGAATCAAACTTTTATTAATATTTGGTTTGTAGTATTAGTGAACAGAATTAAATTTATATTGAAAAAATGTTAAACTCGCTTTTAATGAATTAAAAAATATCTATTTGCATTCATTTTTTGTTATGTGTGTGAGCTTGGGGCAACATTAATATCCTGCAACCTTACTTTGCAGAGTTATACATTCTGTAAAACAAAACAATTTTTATGATGGAACACACGTTTGGAAAGTTGTTAAAAATTTGATATGCAGATATTGCTAACAACGTGATTTAAACGTGGGATATTTACAATTTCAAACAAGGAAACTTTTCTGATGCACGCACAGGTTTACAACCTGTAATACAGATAACGTATGCTTGTATTATATCAGTATCAACACCATTGGAGATACTGTTTTTTCATCACTAAAATTTCACACTGTATACATCCTATTCAAATAACTGTTATATTTAAGTGCAATCAGGATTTCAGAATGTACTGTTCTGTATAATGGACGGTCAAGTGGAAATAAATTTTAATAAGATTAAAAATAAGCTGCTTATATAGAACGATAAAAACTACAGCAGATGGAATTAAATTTAAATAAGTACCTAATTGTTGAAGCAGCTAAATCCAAAAGAAACAAGAACGAATATAAAAGACGAAAGAAAAGTTTAATAAATTTAATTGAAGTGCGAGTGTTCTCATTGCGTTCTTACTTGAAGTTATCACTAATTAATGTATTTTAGCTAAGTAAAGTTAAGTAAACACTTACTGTACGCTATACCCTAATAATATCGCCGTAAAACGATATATTACTAAACCATTGCAAGTCAATGCAAGTATTTGTCAAGCCTGATGTGGATAGCTATTTCGACCATTAGAGGTCTCATCAGCACACCTACTGGCTTGACTAATACTGCGTAGGTAGTAAAAAAAAAACACTTTTCCTTTTTGGAAAACATTTAATAAATTAAGTATAAACAAAAACAATTTAAATAGAAAATAACTTACACAGTACATATTTCTTATTGTTAACGATTTAATAATAATTTTTTAGATATTGTGAGGGTATAGCGTACAGTAAGTGTTTACTAAACTTTACTTAGCTTATACTCACCCTCTCGTACGACCATTGTATTTCAAAATTAATTTATTATGTATTAAGAAATGCGTCCGTCCAAAACGTGTTTAGATTGGTTTGCATTCTGAAAATACTTGAGGCATTTGAAACTCCTATGCTTATAAGCTATACGATTAATTTCTATTTTGCATAATAGGTGTAATACTGTACATGGAATATTTTATAAAATATATTTATTAAAATAATTTGTGATTTTTCTTTGAATTTTACAAATTGTTGTTACATTGTTGTTACATTGTAAAGTTCAAAGAAAAATCACAAATTATTTTAATAAATATATTTTATAAATTACTACCATGGATTACGTATTCAACTTAGAAAATAATAAAATGGAATATTTTTTAATAATTCTGACATGGCGATCTTTATTCAGTGGTTTTTGAGCAATTCTTGCCATGTTAGATATAATTACTGATGTTTCAATATTTTTATATTTTTCTTTATGATGTATATTTATAGCAATGTAAAAACTGTAGTAAAGAGTTCATTATTAAAACTTGGAAAAAGAATTCTCAATACTAAAAAAGAAGGAAGAAGTGAAATGTCTGTGAACGCCTGTGATCGTAACTACAACCGCAATGTGACATTCTAATTTGAATGCAAATCAGTTTGGCACGGTACTGCTTGTTCTAATAAGCCTTTTATCTAGAAGACGAAATTTGCAATCATGTAAAACAAAGTGAACAAAACTGTGGAAATTGGATATAACCCTTCTCAAATATATTTGTTTCAAGCAAATTATACATGAAAATAACATAGAAAATTATTCACTCAGAAAATAATCTAAATGAAAGCTTAGTTATAGTATGGGGTAATTTTTACTGAAAGTGTGCTCAACTTTATTTCTCTGCTTTCTAGATCTGTAGTACGGCAACGTTGCGATTTTCTAAGTTGAATTGTTTGCAATTTAGTGGTGGTTGTGCTGTTGTGTTGTTTAGTTGTTTATGTTTTCATGCTATTAACGCAACTAACGTATTTTGCAAAACTTTAAACATTTATAAATTTAGTGGATTGATTATTTTATTTTACGAACTAACTAATGTCAAACATATGAACAAGGTAATACATGAACATGTACGGATGTACTATGCTTCACTTAATTGAGTATGTGATTTGAATTACAATAGTTCTTTGTTAAACATATTTTGCCTCGTGGGTATAGTCTGTTACTCTCATTTTATTTAATGGAAGTCGAAGCGTTTCCTTTGACTTATGTGTATTAATCACTCTCTCGTAAAACTATTGTTCATTCAATTTTATTACTGCAAAATTATGTTCTTTTTTATATTGAATATTTTTGCAAATCTCAGATAATCCAAAACATGCATGCGCAAGTCGTTCCTACACGAATGATTGCCATCGAGTTCAATAAATTCCTTTGAACTCCAAACTCACATACCAGAAAATTGACAAATTTCCGTATACGAAAACCAAATGACAAAATCCAGGCAAACAACATTTGGAACTAATAGAAAGAGAAATCGTATTTACTCGACACTTAGATCAAAAATACATAATTAGTCAAAATATATGTTTGCGTCTCGTTACCGAATGAAGTTTATAAATCTACAAATTATGTCAAATAGAATACATTTTGTAAGTATATACATGTACTCCCTTTTAGCAAATAAAATTTACAAAGTTTGTAGTAGTATTCTTTTCAATCAACCTTAATCATACTCTACAAAAAAATATATTATACAATTTACAATAAATCACTTGTTTAATTTTCTCAATCTTCTCTATCCTACAGCAACGGATTAGTAACGGGTTTCACAATTGTCGGTGCAAGGTACTTTTCGATTTCTGACTACTGTACCACGTCTTTTTCAATCGCAATACTTTATAGATACGATAAAATTGCTAAAGACATTCATTTTAAGCTTTACCTTTTTGCTTAAGCTTTTAGCAAATTAATTTCTCTTTATGTGGAAAATTACTGTGTATGAGATATTATGTTATAATTATATCCTTTTGTTTTAAATTTTTCGTTGTAAACGTAGTTCATTATCTTATATTTAAACGTTTGTCACACTTGAAAATGCGTATTGCACGAAAAATGTCCGCTCATAACAACACAGCATCACCACATATTACTATGGAATTATTTAAATTATATTCTACTGGTTTTGGCGAATGTAAATTTATATATGAGACACACAAGTAATTTATTTGTTGTGTCTGCAAGTTGTTGCAGTAGTAAAGAATTTCGCACAATTGCCACTGCTTTAGAGAAAACTTTTAGCACATGTTGGACAATATTTTATTTTATATTGCGTTTTATTCTTGTCATATAAATCTCCCAAATTTTTTGTTGACCGCTATGGTGCAGTATTTCTTGTGCTTGTTTTAAGCACTCGCATGGTTCACATGTGGATTGCATGTTTGCTAAGCGTAAAGAATATCAAATATTTTAATGTTACCTCTTATATATGGTGAACTTCCTTTTTTAAATTATTCTATTTCCATACTATTTCCAAAAATCCCTGAATAACAAAAAAACAAATTCTGTATCTCGACCGCTTTTAATTTGCCTCAAATTATTAGGAGTGGTAGATATAAAAACATTTTTCTAATATCAAATTTTTGCTTAATGAATGTATTCAATTTGAGTGTCAAAACCCTCTTTTAAATATTTTTCTTGAAATGTACGAAATATTTTGCTCTCATGAAACATTGTTACACTCTGTCGCGTCCACAAAATTTCATAGAACGCAAAAATGAAGAACATGCACTTTTATACTTTTATTCTTTTTATTCTTTTATTTTATTCCCATTTCCATTATTTTAAATCCATGTGACTCCACTTAGACTCAATCGTCGTTTACATACTGTATTCCATCATTAACCACATATTTATGACCTGTTGCTCAGTTTTTTATCAACTTACAAATTAATTATATCACTTTGGTCTTCCCATAATAAGTTCCGTTCACATCCTAATAATATAACTTTAGGGTTATAACCATGTCAGCAAAGTGCAGATCATTAATTTTTGGAAATCAAAATTGTGGGGACCGGTGTAAAAAATTGTTATTATTACAATAACCAACTTCTGATATTGAACCACATACATATTTAAAGAAGTGAGTGCCATAAAGAGACATAAATCGTATTCTTCACAATTTTGTTGGTATATTCAAAAGATATGCGACACATTGTGATGATGCAATTAGACTTTATTGTTTTTTTTTCAGTTTAATCTAATTTGAAAGTACAAATATTAAATTTTTCACTCTTGGTTGGTTCTTCGCAAACAAATAAAAGCACCATTTGTTTGAGCTTACCTCTCATATTTCATCATAATTGTAACTCAAGATAAAGAAGCGGTGGATGTAATTGCAAAGTGGGAAACTTCACCGATTTTCGCTTGGCCTTTTTTCGATCTTTCTCGTTCGCTACCTTTTCGGTGAACTTCCTTCTCGGCTATTGCCTCAGCGTTTAATTCTCTTAATAATTCAAGCTGCGTTTTGCGGTACAGCTTTAGTCGAATTACGAGTACA